ACTAAGAATGAACTACAATTTTAGTTTAAAATAAGTTTATATTGAAGTTTCAATTTCAACTTCGAAAATCGTTGTGGTATTTTGAGTAAATTGTATTAAGATGCAAGACAATAGCTTCAGAACACAATATTCTTATTTCTACCACATGCAACCGTTACTTTTCTATTGCTCAACACTCATGACCGACAGTTTTATAGAATTTGCTTTCTAATATCATTGGTATATTTGTGTAAAACAACACATTTTTTTTTTTCAATTTCGTCCATTAAGCGCTAACTCCACTATATGCATTTTGATCTATTTTCTCTCGTAATTTTCACAGTTAGTCTCCGTTAGTTCAATTGGTTTATGTAAAATTCATTTAATCCTATTACAAATTTTGCTTTCATATTTTTGCTCTAGTTTCCACCCGCAGGTGTCCAATTCATAGTACAGATTTTAGACTTATCTATTTTATCTTTTGCTACAAATATTTTCACCATAAATTTACCCTTTGGCTATAAATATGTATTAGACATATTTCTTTGTCAGTCTTTATAAATTTTTTACTTACCTTTTATTTTTTTCTTGGATTTTGTTTGACCATCAATAGATTTCATAATTAACCAATGTTTTTCCTAATTTATCTTTTCTTTCTTTTTTTCCAAAGATTTTTTCTCTTTCGTGTCGAGGCGTTAAATAGGATGAAGAATCGTAAGGCAGTAGGACCTAATGAAATACCGGTGGAGTTTTGTATGGCTCTAGGAGAGGAAGGTGTTGATGTTTTGTGATTGCAAATAATTATTAGTATATAAAGGACGAAAGTATGCATGCAGAGAGAACGAGATGGAATTTGGTCACTTCAAACATAGAAATGAAAACTATGTAGGACGAAGAGGAAGAGTAAAACCGAAGAAGAGATGGAAGGACTGTGTGACACCTTTGGTGAAGGAGGCACGATTTACAGAAATGAATGGCGAAGAAGAGTAAGGGTCAGCGACTTCTGAAAGGGAAAAGCTGAGGAGGAAGAAGAAGAAAGTCAGATGTGGGAGAGATTGAGAAATTTCATGTAAAAGGAGGATTGCTTCGGGATCCATGCTTAGTCTTTATTTATTCTCATTAGTGTTGGATCAGATAACAGAAAAACTAAAAGGTAACATTCTTTGGTGCTTAATGCATGTTAATGGTGTAGTGCTGGTAGAAAATACTGAAAAGGGAAAAATGGAGATGCATGAAGTAGAGTAAGGCAGGATAGATGAAGTGAAAGGAAGCAAATGTTGTGTTTGTGTGATAGAGATCGAAATTAAAAGAAACATTCTACGATGAAACTTCCATAAGTACAGCTATGATATACAGATATATATTGGGCACTTAAAACAAATGAGGAACAACAAATGCAGGTGGCGAAAATGAAAATACATTGATGGACGAGTGGAATGACAAAAAGAATAAAATTAAGAATGAATATATTAGAAGAAGTCTAGAGGAGGTAGACGTAAAAGAAATGATACAAGAAAAACAAAATATATAAGAAATGGCTAACAAATACAACATCTAGCAATAGAGTAACATATCAAAGGAAAAACGGAGAAGTACGCAATCAAATAACAGAAGCAAAAAACAATTTCTGGGAACAAAAATATCTCCAAGTTGAAAATTTAATTGGTGGTTCTCAGACTACCGAAGCATGGAGAACGATCACTAATCTAAAGAAAGACACCCATAACTCCTTAAGCAACTTAATTCCTATAGAAAAGTGTGAAAATCACTATAAAAATTTACTCCAAGAGTCCAGATTGGAATATAAGGGAGAGGAGTACAGTATGGAGAGACAAACAAATAGTAACATTAATACTACTAACAACGAGGTCGTACTGCGTTAATTAAAATGAAAAACGGGCGACCTTCAGGACCTGGCAATATTACTGTAGAGTTGCTTAAAGCAGGAGGTCCAGTCTTAATAGAACGAATAACCTTTCTAATGAATCAATGATGCCAACAAATTAAAGTACCATCTGAACGGAAAATCGCTCACCAAGTGTCCATCTTTAAAAAGGGTAATCGAAAATATCCTAACTGTTACACAGGATTAAGTAAGTATCCTACCTACTTTCGGGAATTATTTGGAAAGATAATAAATGGAAAAATACAAGATGATCTAGGACATCTAATTAGCGAAGAGGTAGATCTTGCACTGATAACTTGTTTATACTCCAACAATTAATAGAAAAAAGAATAGCGGTTGGTACCGAAGTAAATGTACTTCGAAGTAGAAGCCTTCACCGGCCTAGAAATGGCGTATGATACAGTTCCAAGACTTAAATTGTGGCAAGCTTTACAATATCTCGGCATTAGGCAATACCTTTTAGGAATAATCACAAAAGTATACAGGGTGTAGCGTTTTTAAATTTGTTTCTATCTATAATATTTAACATCTATATAATAATATAAATTCTATAAAATTTTGTAGTACGCCCCTGTCGAGAGTTTATCTTTTGCAAAGGAATTTTAAAACGATCGATATATTATGGTGTTTTAACTTCAAGTTCCTAGAAAAATATTGCCTAAGACATAATAACGCTGGGAGTATTTCAAGGTTATTTGGCGAGAGGTATTATGTTTGTTTAAGTTCTTAGGCACCAACTGGTTCTCAAGGCGTGAGAGGAAGTGATTTGCGTTGGGTTTGAGATCGACGCAAAAGTCAAGTTGGGTTTGAAGAATGGCTTGAAGAGAACGGAGATTGTTAACGGTTAGGTACGGCATTAATTCGCCAAAAGTGGATTTTTCACTCATGTAATGTGTCATATTTGAAAGAGTGACCACTGTTTCGATTTTCTGAAGATTTTAGAATGTTTGAAAAGTGAACAAGTTTGGTTCCTGTTTTTTTTTAAGAAATCCCGTTTTTTCAAGGTTTGTGCAAATGTTTCTTCACCTCATTTAGCATGCTATTGGAGCAGTTTTGTATTTGAACGTGTCAGTGTGCCAGTTTCAGCCTCCAATGGATAAAGCTTTTCATTGATGATGTCCAGATAGATATCCCAGAGATATTAGCAACTTTTTTCAAAGTTAAGTGTGAAATATGTGAAATTAAGGTAACAATTAATATATTAATTTTCCAAGTAAAATAGACATTTTCCATCAATAATTGCTTTCTTTTAAAATTCAAGAATTTGTAATAATTAAAGTTTTATATTATACTAGGGCGTGATTTAAACTGTCATAATTTTATTCTGTCTTAAAATGTTTGTGTTGACAGTTTAGCTTTAATCTGTTTGTTTATTGTAAAAAATTTTAATTTTGTTATATAGAAAAGATGTTTTATAGAAAAGGTTAAATTTTACGATATTTTCATTTACAAGGATATCCTTAATTTTAATAATCTATTTTGGCCACATTAATAAATAACCTAGCAACCATTCTGAAAGATTTTGTAGCAATCTCTTTTGTAAACAGATAGACACGTAAGTTTTTTCTAATTTTGTATTTTGCAACTATGTATATAGTATGTTTTTTGTGCAATCTGTATTTTAGATAACTGTTTGTTTGAACAAAAATAAATGTTTGATTCATTTCTCTGATTCATTTTTTTTTGTCTAATTTAGAAAAGTCTCCTAACCCTTGTGTGTATTCTTGATTTTAGGAAGAAGAACTCTTCTTTTCTTCCAGCAGGAAGTCTTCTCGGAGCGGCGTCCGAATAGAAAATAGCTAGAGGCAATTCTTGCCTGTCATTATTTTGTTCGTTTTGTTCCAAGAGATTTATGTAATTATCCCTTTGTTTCATTTTGTAGTTACCCTAATCTGACCCCTTTGATTCAACTTATCCACGACCCAGCTCTCCAACAAACCCCTGAGTGCCGTACGCACCAGTATCGATTATTTTGTTTGCTTAAGCCCTTAGTTTCTGTCCCCAATTTTTAACCCCCATATTTCTAACCCTAACGTAGGCAAAATATATCGTTACAAGGGATAACACTACTTATCTAAAAATCGGAAATAGACTGTCAGAGCCAATAAAAGTAACTAAAGGTCTAAGACAAGAATGCAAGAAACTTTGCGGATGACCAAGACGTCCTAGCTCAAGATTCTTATGATCTAGAATTTATGATAAAGCGTCTATATAGAGAATATGTAAAATGGGGGTTACAAATCAGCATGAAGAAAACAGAATACTTCTGACGCAAGGTTTGAAGTGTTGATAGACGAGGACGTGGAAATCAAACAAGTGGAACAATTTACATATTTAGGTGCACTCATTGATAAGAACGGCTTAATAGAAACCGGAATTAAACACCGAATTAATCAGGGACGTAAAATTGTAGGATGTCTGAACTCCTTATGGGCTCCTGGGGATCGCAACATTTCCAAAAGGAACAAAAAAAGAATACGGCAAACCATGGTTGAATCAGTTCTTTGTTGTGGCTCTGAAGTATGGATAATTAAATGCAGACCTGAAGAGAAGATTGTTGGCAGTTGAAATGGATTTATTTGAGAAGAAGTGCTAGAACATCAAGGCTGGAAAGGAAGACAAACGAATCTATAAGAAATAACATGAATGCTACAGAAACGGTCATTGACAGAATAGAAAGAAGAGATTTAAAATGGTTTGGACACTTATTGAGAATGCCTGACAAACGTTGGCCCAAAAACTTCACAGATGGAAGCCTCCTGGAAGAAGAAAAAGAGGTAGACCTCGACGTCATGAAAGAATCTACAGCAGTTGAGTGCAGCAATTAATGCCAAGAGTGAAGAGAGCATAGGTTAAGATGGCTCAGGCATGTTCAACGTCAAGACGATAACCACTTAATACGAAAAATTGCTGACTTTTAAGTTCCTAAAAGAAATAGGAGAAGCACAAAGAAGATCTGGAGCCAGACGCTTAAACAGGACATGTTGGTAAAGGGAATTTATATTGGTATGAACTAAGACCGAAATTTTGTAGTATGATATTATTATTAAAAAAATTCTAATGTAATTTCTATAAATGAATTATCTTTGGGATTGAAATGAGAAATCAAAATATAGTATTAAATTGTATATTAAAATAATTATAAATAAACCTAAGATATAAATTAGGTAATAAAAATAAAATATAAATTAATAAAAATAAAATAAAACTTAAAATATTAAATACAAATATAAAAACATAAAAGAATAAAACTGTTAGTATACACAATACACACATAAATAAAAACCTAATACTATTTTAGAGAAGAACAAAGCAATTAAAAGCTTACAAAAACTAAGAGTGTTTACTATTTCACCAATCAATGTAGAAGTTTATGTGTAGAATATAGACATTATGTGAGAACTCATTACTTCTAAATACCACTCTATTGATATATTAATGTCGATATCAACTATACTTAACCAAAGATTTTCTAACATGTTTAAAAAGAGCAAGAGCATATTTTTTAAGAACACAGTTTTCTTTGTAATGATCCAGATGGTGTTTAGACGTCTAAATTCTCATATTTGTCGTTCTATACTCTTAAATGTTATGATGGAAACAATGATATACTTGAAACTAAACTGAAAACTTATATAGAGAGCTATCTTTGATACAATTTTACTCTACGTCTTCTTAGTAAGTAAAATAACTTTTCTCTTTAACAACATTCTTTTATTATTATTAGAATTACTAACTCAAAATGCGTACAAAGTCAGTTTAAAGTGAAAATATCTTTTACATCTACGAATATTCTACTTCTACTCAGTATACATTTGTTTTGAAAGTATCTACCCCAGTTATATTCATTTTTTTTTAATTTCGAAAGATTTTATAACAACCATAAATACTATCACAGCACATCTCTCGCAGTTTTTTTTTAGATCCAAAACCCTAACTGAGACTTTAAAAAATTATCCAGTATCAAAAAGATTAAGTTCAAAACATTATGAAATCAAACAAGAACGAATAGTGTACATATCTGTAATCCAAGAAGTGTTATCTTTATCAAAATATCGACAGAATTAAAGTAAATAATTTAGTGTTCATAAGTATGTATTCAGAAATAAAGTTCGTGAAAAATATTTGGAAAGACAAATTCTTCAAAGTATATTTTATAATTAAAAGATATTTGAAAGGACAGTACGCATATGAATATAGTATTTTATGTCACAAAATGTTTTAAGAGTATTCAATAACGGAGAAGTAGATGTTTTGAATACCTACCTGAAAGTTGTAAAACCTACCTTAACATTATTGACATGTCAAATAGAAGAAGAAGCCTGGGAGTGGAAGAGGAGGACAGACATTGACAGTCGACAGACTGATCTTAGGGATCTTTTTAGAGATAATTGTGTAGTAGTATTAGTTTGTCTTGTAATAAATAAAATATACAAAAATGAGTCATCTCTTATAACAAAAAGCCCACAGAGTCGAACAAACATGGTGTCACAAGTAAAAAAAAGTAAGGCAAATATCGAAGAGTCATTATAATAGTTACAAAAGCCGAAACATAACCTAAGAACACGTGTTGGGGTATTAAAATCAAAAAGAGATTTATTATTAAAAACAGTCACGATATAAAATGGGCATGGAAGAACAAGATGCTGTCGAGCAGAACCAACCAGTCGTTGTAAAAATAAAAAGTAACGTAGTCGGCAATGAAATTCAACCTTTGTCGATGGAGGGAAATTTGGCTTACAACTGGGAAGAATGGTGCATGAATGTCAAAATATTTTTGAGGGCGACAGGTTTAGAGAAGGAAAATGATGCGAGAAAGGTAGCTCTACTATTACACTATATTGGTCTAGATGCAAGAAATATTTACAAGTTATTTGAGGTTAACATGGATACCGTAAAATTTAAAGAGGTAGTAGACAGAGTTAAAAAATATTGTAACATGAAGAATAATTAAACGGTAGAAAGACATTATTTTCTTACTAGAGTTCAAAAAGATGTGAATTAGGAATTTTAAAAGAAAGTTTGGTATGGGACATGTTCATTATGGGTTTAAATTTTAAACACCATTCAATTAAGTAAAAACTATTGCAAGAAGTAGATCTGAAGACAGAAAAGGTTTTACAAATTGCTCAAAATATAATTACAACTCAAATGCAAGCCCAACAGTTAAATAAAAATTCAGAAGCTGTGGTATACAAAGCGGAGAAGAGTAAAGATGGTCCAGATTCGAAAAATAAATTGGAAACAGAAATTAAACCATATTATAATTTTAATCATAAAATACATGTTGTGGATGGACTAATCTTTAAAGGAAACCAAATAATAATAATTCCTGAGTTATTACATCAAGTCATATTGCAAATAATTCATGAAAGTCATTTAGGATGACCATTTTGGTCATTTAGAAGTGGAAGAGAAGGACAGACATTGACAGTTGACAGACTGGTCTTAGGGCTCTTTAGAGATAATCGTATTAGTATTAGTTTGTCTTGTAATAAATAAAATATACAAAAATAAGTCGTCTCTTATAACAAAAAGCCCATAGAGAAAAAAAAACAGAGTGAAAAAAGCAAATTAATTGGAAACAAGACGCTAGATACCACAAATAAATATCACATACCCAAGGACAGAAATCCGGTAAAGCTTGGAAACATGTCACCATATTTCAGGCAAAAGTTGCCGTTATACAAAGCTGTGCCATGAAACTAATAGGTTGACAAGTGAATAATGACTTAATCTTGATCTACTCCGATAGTCGCTCTAAAAGCTATTAGTTCTATGCAGATTAACTGTGAGACTGTTTTGATACCTTGACACTAGCCTGTGTTCTAGGGTCCAAATGCTACGTGGGTAAGGAGAAGGCTAATAAATTGGCGCGAGAATGTGCTTGTGCGGCGATAATTGGCCCGAAGGCCTGCTTTGGATTAATGACCACCAGGGCAAAGACAGACTAAAAAGTTCATTAAGGGACATAAAGTGAAATTCGCTGCCGACTTACTGATGGACAAGCGAAAGACTGCCAGGATGTGGCAGTAGATAGTGGGACAGCTGGCTGGACACTGAAGGCCCAATCAACATTCTAGTCGTAGAGTCGTGATTGACGGAAAAAGATACTTGTCGGTTCTGTCTAGAAAAATATGAAACCGCTCTGCACGTTTTATGTTAGTGTCAAAGGCTTACATGGCTGCGGTATCTACAACTCAGAGGGAAACAACCAAAAGTATTAGTCTATAAATTAGAAATCTCATTAAGATGATAGAACTGGATGAAGAGCTTAAGTGACAAAGGAAAGCACATTAGATCTGTAAATGTCGCAGTGTATCAGGCCGAGAGCCACCCTAATTTGTAATCTGTAATCTGTAGATATAACAAAACAATTACAAAAATTAAATAGCTTAAGTTCTGTAGAACAAACAGAGTATAGAAAAACCTTAGATGGAATACAGTAATACAATACTGAGACTACTATCACATAAGAAAACATTAGATATACTAGGGAAGGTCAAAGTCCCTAAGATGCATAAGGGCAAAAAAAAGCAGCAATAAGATTATTTACTAGAAGGAAACAGCGTCTAAAAATTTGCATAAATATTTGAACTTGTCGATTATAGGATCTGAATATACCGAGCAATTATTATGAGCGGCATGGGGTACTTTTAACTTTCATTGCTTTTTAACGAAATATTCGAAATTCTTAGTCTAGCTGATATTTAACATCATACTCTCTTATGACCAAACGGATCTTTTCTATAGCAAGCGCTATATCTTCGTCTGTGATCTCGTGATAGGTGACGAATCTGACGCAGTCGTTTTTTAAAGAGGAACATCTGACACTTGCCCTTACTTCATCTCCTGCTACCACGTTTTGCAATCGGCGTTGGAGCTCTTTTATATCGATCTTTGTTCGATCAATGTATACCAAAATAATATTGGTCTGAACCTTGGTCAGTTGCACTTTAAACAAGTTGGATCTCATGTGGTGTACAGCTGAAAATTGGAAAAGGTTTCAATCGTGCTGACAGCATTAGTTAGTTAATTTTCAATAAAAAATGTATTTTCCCAAAAATATTATACAAATATAAATTGTTATTAGTGTTTTGCCCAAAAATAAATTAAGATGATTCTCGATTAAAAGAATTCACATTTTTAATTAAAGTCTTACACTCTATACACTCATCTCAAAAGAATCGATATAATAGATCGATAGACAGTGTTTTCGTATACCCTTGTAACAAAAAATGACTCAAAGTATAATATATAGTAAAGTACAGTAAAAGATTATTAAGTATTTATTTGTTTCTGACATACGTCTTATGTATTCCTAACCTGTCAACTATTTTTTTCTCAATAATAGTACCTTCAATAACCATAATTTCTTTAATCGTGTCATTTCTGACTCTAACATTCTCGAAATCCAGAGTGAGCTTCTGATTGGTTTCAGTTCAACAGCTTCTAATATATTTTTTTATATTTCTCTGCTAGTGTCCAATTATCAGATCTATACAATAAACTGCTATTCGTATATATTAAATATTCTTTTCTTTGTAATGTTTTTATTTCGTATAATGTCATTTAGACAGGATATTGCTTTTTTAATATTGTAGATGATGTAATGATGTTCAGATATATATGATTATTTATGATTAAAGAAGTCACTGGTGGTTTTCAAGTTATTGGTTTAACAGAATTGTACAAATTATCATTATTCAATGTGTATCAAATTACTATTATCATTCGTTGGCTCTCTTCCAATGGACCTACTATATTACTGTTAAGTAATTTTCTGATTCGGCTGTTGAAGTCAACTATTACAACAATATCTCTAGAGTTTCCAATTTTATTAACAGTTTATTAGCGATTACATCAACCTCTGGTGGGCATAAATTGCTATTAATATGATTAAGATAAGAAATATTCATTGGCTGTTTCATTGTTTCGGTAACTGTCACCACATCCATTTTAAGTTTTTTTAATTCCGGTACAATAATCTGACTTTGCATTTTACTCTTTGTATATTCTGTGTAGTTAATGTCGATCCGTGAATCCGATAATTGGATTTTTACGTACAGCAGGGAGCTAGCCTACTGCTACAGCATCAGAATCATTGGTCTACACAGGTTGATCATAATACCACATTAATTTTCTATAATACCCAAGAATCAAACAACACTGAAACACAGTATATATATATATATATATATATATTATATATATATTATATATATATATATATTATATATAGGGACAAAATCATGAACCAATTAATTTTTTCGAGAGTAGGCGTCTTTGGAGACAAATCTCGAAGCTTGTCGATTTTTATTTTTAAATATTATGATTTTTTTGACATATTTATTATGCTTAACATATTTTCAACTGAAATTTAGGTAAATAAGATTACTACTACTTTTATAATTCATAAAAGAGTTTCAGATTCACAAAATACAAGCATATTTCTGTTGTTTTCTCATTTTTCTGGATATATATACTTCCCAATTTCCATTGCTTCCAATATACTATATGTCTCTCGGTCTAGTTTCTTAAGAGTTGTTTTGTTGTTATTTGTTCCTTATTCCAAAAGACTATTTGACTCATAAGGCAATAAGTTCAAATCATTTATGTTAGTCTACACAATTAGTAAGCAGTGAAAAGACAAGCAGATCAAGCGATTAAAAGGTAAGTAAAAGCAATATCTAAATGATATATAATGTATATAAAATATATATTTACCTCTTGCAATTTTAAAAGCATGGTCGTGATCAATCTTCAATCTATCTATCATAGTATCCAGAGCTACCAATCCAGCTGCCGCCAGTATTCCAGCTTGTCTCCAACCACCTCCTAGTACCTTTCGGATACGCCGAGCCCTTAAAGTAAAAAAAATTGCCTTTTAGTTTTAGGCATCTACCAAGTAAATTATCTATAGTTTAATATCATATCAAAATTGTAATGTTTGCAATATCTTAATTACAAACAAAAGGAAGTCCCTTCTTGAGGAAGAACAAAATTGATTACGAAAGGGTCGCTCATGTATACCTATCATAATAATTACATACCTATATCGGTCAATTAAAAAACAAGTATTTATAGTGTATTATTTTGTATTCAACTATACATATCCTTTCATTAGTGAAATTAATTAACTACAACTACGCAGTGCTGATACTCTAATAGCAAACACGTGCCTGAGAGTTTTGGCAACACTGATCTCCATAAGCGCAATGTTATTTTCTTAACTTGAAACAAAGTATGGCTACTTGAAACAGAGTTTAAGAGAGAATTCAAAAATAATATTTTTTACATTTGTTTTTGAGTCTGTAAAAATCTTCATTTTTCGTTTTTTTTTTTCAGTTTTAAATTATTTATTATTCGAAAACGATCCAGTTTAGAGAAAAATTAGAACCAGCCTTTTTTATTCAGAATGCTTCAAAAAATTGTCCGAGTCGAAAAAAAAATTTTTACAATTTGTTTCAAAAATTTGTTTAAATAAATTAGGACCACTTTTCGCAAGGGGTACCTCTTGAACCTTATTCTGAGGTATCTCTGAGTGCGATTATGCAAAAAAATCCCATGAGAATATTTTTGTGCTTTGAGAGTACCTTTCAATTGTTCTGAAGCTATTTTATTGTGGCATCTAATACAATTTATCATTTTTATTGGGAATAAGCCAGAATTTTACTTTAAAATACATTTATTTTGACTTTTTGATTTCCACTTCGGAGATAGTTCTCAATGATCTGAAGTGGAACCCGAAACGTCAAAACAAACTTATTTTAAAATAAAAATGTGGCTTATGCCCAATAAAAAATGGTAAATTGAGAGTACTTGACTAACACCTGCACTCTCCCCTGAAAACCACAACATGACACGGAATAGTTGGAAGAGTCCATTAACTCGACGAGTGTCTATTATACAACATGTAAACTTTTTCAGTTGTATAACCTATATTTCTGTCTGTCTCTTATTCTAGGTATCTCTATCTCATGTCTTCTATAAAAAAAACCATAAAAAATTCAATCTATTACGAACCTATAAAAATTATCAACTAAATAACAGACTTAAAAAACTGGACTAAAATTTAAGGACTTGTGTACGGAATAAAAGATAGCCTAATAACCTTCCGAAAATAGAAACTCTGTGTGATGCAAATCGGTTTTAGATATTAAGGGCATGTCGATAATGGAACTAAAATAGATGTATTTGTAAGTTTACGATAAAATAAGTTTATTATTAAACCATATCTACCGATATCACCTGATGATAAGACAAAAAGTTGTTAAGACGCAACAATTAAGTTTTTTGCAACATATTTTAATCAAAAAAGTTGTGCAAAATTTGGATATTTTTTACTATTGATATTGAATTATTTATAATTTCGAAATTATTGTGTATTTTTAAAACATAATATTGCCGAATCATTGTGACGTTTCAATCAGTGATAAAATCCTTTTGACATTAAAGACAATGATGTCAGAATTGTATTTGGTCAACAGTAAATTTCGATATCAGGAACTTATTGCCAATTTGCAAAATTTATAATAGGGGCTGCTTTCGTAGATTTAACAGCGGCCTATGACACAGTAAGGAACAAAACATTGTTCCGCAAATTATACGACACTCTCAATGACCGCCATCTGGGTAAGGTCGTATATTCCTTACTGCAAAACAAACGTTTTTTCGTTATGCTGGAGGGAAAAGTAAGTAGGTGGAGAGTTAAAAAAAAACTGTCTCCCACAAGGAAGTGTTTTAGCACCAATGCTCTTCAATATATAAACAAACGACCAACCTATGCCGACCGAAACCAAGCACTTTCTTTATGCTGACGATCTTGCAATATATGCTCAAGGAAATGGTTTTGAAGCAGAGGAGAAACTGGAAACTGCCTTAAAAACAATGACAGCGTACTATCTGCAGAATTCTCTGAGATCCAATCCCTCTAAAACACAAGTCTGCGCTTTCCACCTTCGTGCAAAGGAATCCAAGCGAAAACTCAAAATTGCATGGACTGGTAATACATTAGAACACACAAACCAACCTATATATCTTGGACTAACTGTGGACCGGTCCCTCACCTACAGACAACATTGCATAAACACGAGAGGAAAAGTAACAACTAGGAACAGCATACTCAGGAAGCTAACGGGAAGTAAATGGGGTGCACGTCCTGGCGTTTTAAGAACAACGGCACAGGAACTGTGTTTCTCAACTGCTGAATATTCGTGCCCCATTTGGGGCAGATCTGCCTACACCAAACAAGTTAAGACTGCACTAAATGAGACATGCAAGATAGTAATGGGGTGCATGAAACCAACGCCACTCTCAAATCTATACAAAGCAGCGTGTTTTTCAGAAACCAACCTCAACACGCAGAGGCGTTGCAGAGCACATAGAGAAAATTAAACAGAACGCGGACGAGCGGCATATCCCATACAAAGCTCAAACACCAAGAAAGCGACTAAAATCCAGGAAAAGCTTCCTTGGAACAGTGCAGGATGAACCGCCTGAGTATTTTCCTCTTCCCTAGTGTTCAATGGACCGGTCAGTCCCTAGACTTTAAAACGTGGAAAACTATGAATAGAATAAGAACAGAGTCGCTCCAGTAAAATCAAACATGGCAAAATGGGAAAAAATAGACCAAGATGATGTGAACTGTGACTGTGGAGAAACACAAAATATGGGACATTTTCTTACACGCAGAAACTGTCCTCATCGATGACTCTCGAAGATTTGTGGCTCGCAACAAAAATGGAACCGACGTAGCCCGATACTGGGCCGAAATTTTATGAATGACATATTCAGAACTATAACAATTTGAACAAAAGGAAACCTTCTTAAGGTGCCTTCTCCATTACTGAAGGTTGGCTATACTACAGCAAATTGCTCTCTATCTTGAGCTGTTCTTAGTATCGCATGTGTGTCCATGCCTGTCCAGTCTCTTATGTTCTTCAACCAGGAGCATTTTCTTCTCCTGGACCTCTTCTTCCTTCACTTTCCCTTCCATTATAAGTCGTAGGAAGTTGTATTTTTCTCCTCTGTAGATATGTCCTAAATAACTCGTTTTTCGGTTTTTTACAATATTTAGGAGTTCTCTGTCAGTACCCATTCTTCTTAGCACCTCGTTGTTGGTCACGTGCTCTGTCCAAGAGATCTTCAGCATTCTTCGAAAAACCCACATCTCAAAGGCTTCTATACGCCTCATACTTGTAATTCCGAGAGTCCATGTTTCCACTCCGTATAGCAATATGGAATAAATAAACGTTTTTACAAATTGGTATCGGATGTCCAACGATAACGTAGAGTTTATTAGAAATTTTTTCATTCGCTGAAATGCGGACCTAGCATATTCTATACGAGCACGTATTTCGACCTCGTGGTCAAGATCGTTTGTTATCCAGCAACCAAGATACTGGAATCTTTGTACTGGTTCTATATGTTTGTTATAGATACGAATATTAATGTCGACATTTGGTGTACGTGTAACAGCCATCACTTTTGTTTTATTTGTGTTTATATTTAGTCCCAAGCTATCTCCCTCTCTGGTTATGACATTCAAAAGTCGTTGTAAACCCTCAGCACTGTCCGCAATAATGACGGTGTCGTCTGCGTATCTTAAGTTGTTTACGTATTCTCCGTTGATTTTTATTCCTTCTTCAATATTTTCGAGGGCATTTGAAAGATCTTTTCGGAATATATATTAAATAACAGTGGAGAAAGTACACAGCCCTGACGAACTCCTCTTTTTATTGGCAATTCTGCTGTCAGACGATTGTCTATTTTGATAGATGCCATTTGATCCCAATATAGTTTTTTAATAAGTGCTACAGTGTTATGGTCTATACCATGTTGTGTTAGGGTTTCTATGAGTTCTGTGTGTTTAACTCGATCAAACGCTTTTTCGTAGTCGATAAAACAGAGAAAGACGTCTTTTCGCTGATCTCGGCATTTTTGTAGTAATACCTGGAGGCCAAATAATGCCTCCCTTGTACCAAGCCCCATACGAAATCCAAATTGATTGTCGCTAAGGTTTCTTTCGCATTCTCTGTATATTCGTTGATGTACAATTTTGAGTAAAATTTTCAGAAAATGGCTCATCAGGCTAATTAATCTGAACTGTGAGCATCTATTTGCTTATTTTTCTTGGTATAGGTATAAATGTCGATCTAAGCCAGTCTTCTGGGAAGATTCCAGTGGTATATATTTTGTTAAATAATATTGTTAATGTCTGAAGATTTTCTTCATTGATGAGCTTTATCATCTCTACGTATATTTCATCTGGACCTGAGGCTTTTCGTGACTTTGCCGTATTGAATGTTTTTGTAACTTCAGATGTTAATATATCAAGTATTGTTTCTTGTACTATATTCATTTGTGGTTCTGTTCTCTCGTCATCAAACAGATCTTCGATGTATTTTTCCCACATGTCTCCTACTTCTTCTGGACTAGATACTATTTCGTAATTTCGAGATAAAAGGAAACCATTTATTGTAATTATCTATAAATATCGGTAGACCAGGTGAAAAGAACAAGGAGCGAAAGAACTAACCAAACGATACAAATTGTGGTATGTAGGAAAAAGTAACATTAGGAATAAAGTTAGTTTAATAATGATGACAAATAAAAGATAAGTAAAAGTTGTAAGAACGATATATATAATAACGGATTGATTAGGGCTGTAGCCGTTTCTTCTTCTTCTCCGCCCCCAATTTCCATCTTTTTCTGTCTTACACAGTTGCCTCTTCTAAGTCTCTTGTCGCCATTGCTTCATCAATATCGTTGCGCCAACTTCTCCGTGGTCGTACTCTCTTTCTTCTTTCAGAGGGATCCATTCCAGTACTCTTTTAGGCCATCTGTACTCTGGCATTCTTTT